GATGGCAGCTCAGAAAGCCGGTGTGATCACATCCCCTGGATAGCTATACCTGCTTGTCTTACAAAAAAACAGGCTTCGGTTATTGATATTGATACTCTGTATAGATCAAGACAATTTTATGCTAGTGCTATAAGAAGAAAAAGGGGGGGCGGGGGGGCTGCTCCAAGCCAGGTCCCCACGAGTGACCCTGTGCTCCTGCCAAGCCCCTCGCAGGTCCTCCCAAACTTCCCTCAGGGAGTTTAGATAACCAGTGTAAAAGCTCTTTCCAAGTGGAGACTTGCTATCTGTGACCTTCACTTTTCATTCTTAAATATTTCTTTTCTCCTTCTTCCGCTCTCTTCCTCATTTATAACCTGTAAAATCACGGTGTGAGAGCAAGAGACGGCGAGACCTGCCCCACTAGGTCACAGCAACGGCCCCCACGGCACCCAGTGGGGGTGCATGGGAGCTCGGCCCCTCTCCTGGCCTCACTGCCGCCTCTCCCTGGCCGCAGGTGCTCTCTGCCATGAGGCTGTCCTGGGCGCTTCTCCTGCTCGCGGCGGCCCTGGCACTGGAGGGGACAGTTGCCGCCCGCTGCCCCACACCCTGTGTCTGCGACAACCTCCGCGCCCACGTCCTCTGCCTCAATGGGAACCTGATGGCCATCCCCAGCACCATCCCACAGGTGGGTAAAGGGACAGGCAGGGGCGTGGGGGAAGAGGAGGTGGGGATGGCAGCCCTGGGGTAACTCAGTGTTTACTTGTGTGACTGACAGCTCACCAAAAAACTGGACCTTCAGGGCAACAGCTTCACGGTCATCCCAGTGGGAGCCTTCCTCGCCACCCCATACCTCACGCACTTGGACCTGCAGCGCTGCAAGGTGGAGAGGCTGGAGGAAGGTGCTTTCCGAGGGCTGGGGAGGCTGGTCTACCTCAACCTGGCCTCCAACAGCATAGCCCTCCTCTACCAGGAGTCCCTGGATGGGCTGTCCTCCCTCCAGCAGCTCATCCTGGAGGGGAACCGCATCGAGGAGATCCAGCCGGGTGCTTTTGGCCATCTGGGGTCCCTCACTGTCCTCGACCTGAGGGCGAACGCCTTGGTTTACCTCCCAGACATGGTCTTCCAGGGTCTGCAGGTCCTCAGGTGGCTCCGGCTGTCCCACAATGCCCTCCATGTGCTGGGCAGCGAGGCCTTCACCGCCCTGCCCGCCCTGCGCAGGCTGAGCCTGGACCACAATGAGCTGCAGGCACTGCCCAGCGAGACCCTGGCCAGGCTGGACGGGACCACCCGGCTGGACCTGGGCCACAACCCCATCACCTACGTGGCTGAGGAGGCCCTGGCCATGGCCTCCCTGAAGCACCCCTC